TTGCATTCGAGAAAACTGGGTTGTGATGATTTATTTCATCATGATTTAAATGATAAATTAAAATGTCTATCATAGAGCGTGTCATTACGGCTCGTTTTTAATTTTCGTAACCTAAATTATCATTTATTTTACTTAATCCACTGATAACGTTCATTGTCTTATGATTTTAATTAAGTTTAAGGACAGTGCATTTCAAATTCTTGATAGTTAAATAAAATTTTCATTGAAAAATTTTTCGTTAAATTTACAAGATTACATTTAGTATTTATAAATATTAGAACTTTAAATGAATGTAAATGCTTACTCCTAGAAACATCACATAACAAATGTGATGGTTCATTTGGGGTGAAAAGAATGTGCAAACAAATATTGGGTAATGTTCCGGTCAACTTGACCCGGGTTGTTTGGCCCGACTCGAATTTTTTCTCGAGTCGGGACTATCATTTTATAACAAGAGAATTCAAAAAGATCGTCTGATTAGGTCACGTTTTTGCTTTGGCGATATTCAAAATTTTATTAAATAATTCTGATTTTCCTAGCAGTCTTCCTATATATTTATTTGTGAATTTTTTGTTTCTTTACTTTTTTTTTTTTATCATTTTATTATATTGTATCTAGAGATGGGAGTATTTTAATTGAGACAGAACAGCCTACTTCTTATAATAGATAAATACCACATGCTTATCAAAAGATAAATACCCTAGTGAAAATATGGGGTTTGTTATTAAAATCGAGTTACGAACATAGTAAATCATATGATCCGTAACGTGATTTTAATAGCTTACCTCCCATATATTAAAAAGGGGAAAATTTTTTTTTTTGAATTTCACATAGGAAGTGGACAAAGGGGATGAAAGAAGGGAGGGAGGGAAGGAGGAGAACGATACAAAGTTGCATTAGGAAGAGAAGAAGGGAGAAGAGAAAGAGTAGAAAGGAATGAGGAAAAACGGAAGAAGGTAAGGGAGAAGGTAAAAAAGAAGTAGAAAAGTTTGAAGAAATCGAAGAAGTTGGAGAAGTAGATGAAGTGGAAAAAGTAGGAGACACAGGAGAAGTAGACGAGCAGGAGAAGTAGAAGTGAGAGATTAAAAAGAAGTCGGAAAAGCTAAGGAAGGAGAAGAGAGCGAAGGAGAGTAAGAAGAATAGAAAAAGCGGAAGAAATGGACAAGAAGCAGCAGTAGAAGAAGGAGAAAGAGAAGTAGGTACAGCTAGAGGACGGAGTAAAGGAAGTTAAAGAAATAATACGTCGTCTTGGCGTGACAACAGCACTATTGACATCTTGTCGAGTTTTTCGATTCATCGTCTAAAAATTCCTTAAATAAAAAATAATATTAAGATGCTATTTATTTTCTTTATTCTTTTAATCAAAAAATTTACAAAATACAATACACTCTAAAATTAAAAAATTCAATGAAAAATCTGTTACCAATTTCAGGCTTGTCAATCGTTTATAGGATAGTCAAAAAAAAAAAGATTATACAGCAAAACTAAGCAACATTTAAGAAAATTCAATATAATGGATTTATGGGTGTTTTGAATTAGTCTGCGATGCAGAAGCATATGGATTTTAATGGCTAAGTGATACAGAGAAAGCTCATTTTTTTTTATATCACCAGACCGATTTAATTTACTAAAGGAAAAAAAAAAAATACAAAAATTATATAAAATATTTTAGGGATATAATTCATTACATTATAAAATCACGTACGCGTTAATACGTTTTGTACAGGTAGTATTAATTATAAAAATAAAAAAAAAAGTATCTTAACAAATTCCATAGCTTGGCACAAATTCACGTAGAGACGAAAATTGTTGTGATACTCGAATAAGTCTTTGAGAAAAAGATATTATATGTGACTCTGTTGATTTTTATTTTTATCTGAAACTACAATAAATTTAAAACTCCGGATTTACAGCTCTGTAAGAGAGTATTATGTATATTGTATATAAAAAATAAAATTAACATTAAATAAGTTATATATAAAAGAAACAAAAAAATTCTGGTCACGTTAGTGTTTAATTGAATTATACATGTTAACCTTTGCGATATAATTCATTATATTACATAAAAGGTCATCAGTCAGTTGTTAATTACCTGTATTGGACAATAATATAATGGAAAAATAAAAGTAAATATTACGTTTACTCTCAACCTGAAAGTATAAGTTAAAGAAATAATAACAATCCAATCCGCTTAAAAAAAATAATTTATTATAAAGATTAAAATCAAAAATCAAAATATTATGCATCCAATTCCATCATTTACTTGTTTAAAATACGATTTGATTTTAATTGAAAAAAATATATAAGCATCCATTTATAGGCAACCTAACGACTTAGATTTCCTTTCCTTTATCTCTTTGCATAACTACTTTCAAACTTACTTCCTCAATAAAGAAATTTAATAGTAAAATACACAACTATGTTTAAACAACGTCTCAGTAAAGGTAATAAATTAAAATCAAAAGAAAGACTCGAAAAACTCAAAATTATTATAAAAGAACGACGCAACATGCTCACTTCTAGAATCGTAAAAGAACTCCGAGAAGCAAAAGAAAAAAAGGAACAATCAGGAATAACTGTCATATAGTCTGGCAAAACTCATTTTAGCAAATGGCAAAAGTTGAAACCCTATATTTCGACGGATTTGTTAATATTCTTTAATATAGTTTTGACTTTTGACAGGATTTTATTATGGTTATTATAATTTTATCAATGACCCAGTCGAAACACTATAGTTTGACAGGCAACTATATTCAGTCGGAAACTTTACACCTTAAAAACGAATTAAGTAAGTTAGAAGAAGAAAAAAGACGGTTGGAGAGTAGCGTTGCGAGATTGGAAGATATGGAGAATCATTTGGAACTAAAATATTTAGAGGATCTGAAAAAAATCCTGGATGAACTCGGGGGACTGTGAGTATATTAACCTATTAAATAGAAAAGCCCACTTTTCTTTCTTTTTAATTATTTTTTATATCAAATAACACCACCACTACATTTCTTTTATTTTTAAATTTTTTATATCAAAATAGTTTACCCAGTATACTTAGTAAATTGAAGAACGGCCGGGATGTGACGCGATGTGACAATTTCCTAACCTCTTAAATAATTCTAATTCTACCATGATCCTACCCTAATCCTAATCCTAACTCTAA